CACTCTGGAAGCCTGTAAGATGCAACATTGCAGATTTGTGCCAGGGTGGCTTCCAGCAGAGTATTAAAATACAGTGGTCTGTTAAACTACCAAGAAGGCCCTCCGCCTGGTTCCCTGTAACTTGGCTTCTCGCAGGGAGGAACCGTCAGAAGGCCCTCGGAGCTGGACCCCAATGTCCAGGCAGAATGATGGGGGTGGAAATGCTCCTTCAGGTTTACTGGACTGAGGCCGTTTAGGGCTTTCAAGGTCAGCACCAACACTTTGAATTGTGCTCAGAAACATACAGGGAGCCAATGAAGGTCTTTCAGGACCGGTATTATGTGGTCTCAGCAGCCGCTCCCAGTCACCAGTCTAGCTGCCGCATTCTGGATTAGTTGTAGTTTCCGGGTCACCTTCAAAGGCAGCCCCACGGAGAGCGCATTGCAGTAGTCCAAGTGGGAGATAACCAGAGCATGCAGCACTCTGGTGAGACAGTCTGCGGGCAGGTAGAGTCTCATCCTGCGTACCAGATGGAGCTGATAAACAGCTGCCCTGGACACAGATTTGACCTGTGCCTCCATGGACAGCTGCGAGTCCAGAATGACTCCCAGGCTGCGCACCTGGTCCTTCAGGGGCCCAGTTATCCCATTCAGGACCAGGGAGTCCCCCACACCGGCCCCCCTCCTGTCCCCCCAAAACAGCACTTCTGTCTTGTCAGGATTCAACCTCAATCCATCAGCCGCCATCCATCCTCCAACCGCCTCCAGACACTAACACAGGACCGTCACCGCTTTCACTGCTTCTGATTTGAAAGAGAGGTAGAGCTGGGTATCATCCGCATACTGATGAACACCCAGCCCAAAACCCCTGATGATCTCTCCCAGCGGCTTCATGTAGGTGTTGAAAAGCATGGGGGAGAGGACAAAACCCCGAAGCACTCCACAAGTGAGAGCCCAGGGGTCTGAACACTCATCCCCCACCACCACTTTCTGAACACGGCCCAGGAGGAAGGAGCAGAACCACTGTATGACAGTGCCCCCAGCTCCCAGCCCCTCAAGACGGTTCAGAAGGATGTTATGGTCGATGGTATCAAAGGCCGCTGAGAGATCCAGCAGAACTAGGAAACAGCTCTCACCTTTGTCCCTAGCCCGCCGGAGATCATCAACCAGTGCAACCAAGGCAGTTTCAGTCCCATGAAGAGGCCTGAATCCCGACTGGAAGGGATCCTTAAGAACATCAGAACCTCCTGGATCAGGAACAATGGACCATCTGGCCCAGCATCCTGTTCTCACAGTTGCCTGTGGGAAACCAGGATGCAGGATCCGAGCACAGAAGCCCTCTCCGCTCCTGTGGTTTCCACCAGCTGGCATTTATAAGCACTGCTGCTTCCACCTGTGCAGGCAGAGCAAAGCGATCGTGACTAAAAGGTAAAGGTAAAGGTACCCCTGCCCGTACGGGCCAGTCTTGACAGACTCTAGGGTTGTGCGCCCATCTCACTCAAGAGGCCAGGGGCCAGCGCTGTCCGCAGACACTTCCGGGTCACGTGGCCAGCATGACATCGCTGCTCTGGTGAGCCAGAGCCACACACGGAAACGCCGTTAACCTTCCCGCTAGTAAGCGGTCCCTATTTATCTACTTGCACTCGGGGGTGCTTTCGAACTGCTAGGTTGGCAGGCGCTGGGACCGAGCAATGGGAGCGCACCCCGCCGCGGGGATTCGAACCGCTGACCTTTCGATCGGCAAGCCCTAGGCGCTGAGGCTTTTACCCACAGCGCCACCCGCGTCCCTATGAATTTGTCCAGTCCTCCTTTAAAGCCATCCAGCTTGGTGGCCCTGGCTGCCTCCTGTGGGAGGGAGTTCCACAGTTTACCCTCCTCCTCTGGCAGAGCAGCAGGGGGCAAGAGGCACGAGAGGGAGTCTGAGATGCCCCGTCCCTGTGCCTGGGGCTGTAGGTCTAGCTCAGGGCATGGGGGGAGGCCTTGAACCCTGAGATGCCTTGCACCATTGGGTCAGGAGCCAGGAGGATGTCTGGGGCCAGGGCAAGGTCATGCACAGGTGGTGGTGGGAGCCCAGGCCAGGTGCATTTGGGGCAGGAGGCTGGCATGATGGTGGGAGAAGTAAACAGGCAGTGCAGGTTGGAGGAGGAAGAGGAGGAGAAGGAGGAAGGTGCAGCATGATTGCTAAGAGGAGCAAGGCCTTGATGGCATATAACTCCCATGCCCAGAGTTCTGCCCTGGTTGCCGGGCCAAGTTCAACTATTAGTATAAAGGTAACGGGACCCCTGACTGTTAGGTCCAGTCGTGGCCGACTCTGGGGTTGTGGCGCTCATCTCGCTTTATTGGCCAAGGGAGCCAGCGTACAGCTTCTGGGTCATGTGGCCAGCATGACTAAGTCGCTTCTGGCGAACCAGAGCAGTGCACGGAAATGCCGTTTACCTTCCTGCCAGACCGGTACCTATTTATCTGCTTGCACTTTGACGTGCTTTCGAACTGCTAGGTTGGCAGGAGCAGGGACTGAGCAACGGGAGCTCACCCCGTTGCGGGGATTCAAACCGCTGACCTTCTGATCGGCAAGTCCTAGGCTCTGTGGCTTAACCCACAGCACCACCCGCGTCCCTAACTATTAGTATGCAAAGACCTTAACAACTTGGGCTCAGTTTACCTGCAAGATCACCTCACCCCAGAACTGGCCCTCTTACAGGTGCTACACAATGCCTGTTCTGCAGTTGCAAGAGCTTAAACTTTCTGTTGGAAGCCGCCCAGAGTGACTAGGAAAACCCAGCCAGATGGGTGGGGTATAAATAAATTATTTTATTATTATTATTATTATTATTATTATTATTATTATTATTATGCGTGGCAGCACCTGTACTTTTGAGTCCTCTGCCTTTCGGCATCAGGCAAGAGCCATCGTTGGTGCTTCTTTTCAGTGCCTGATAAAAACATTTCAGTTTAGGCAAGTCTACCCAGAAGTTATTGCTATTTTAACTTTACCAAAGTCTTAAATGATTGTTGATTTTTCTCGTATCATTTTTGTAAACGGCTTTGAGGGTTGTTGTTCTTTGTCTCAGTTGCAGCGCCTGCGTTTTCCTTCCAATCCAGCCCTGGCTCCCGGTCTCTGCAGCTTCGATTGCCCTGCTTGGTGCAGCAATCCAGGTGTGCTCAGTTCTGCCAGTCAGGTGCCAGGGTGCTTAGCCTGGCTAATGATAAGCCATAGCTGAACAATGGGAGAGGGAGGGTGGGGTGAGGTGCACTTTCGGTGGCCACCAAAAGCCGCCCTGGCCTTCTGGCGAACTCTGCACAGTGTGGGAGGCAGAGGGGGCCAAGAGGACTGGGAGGAAGGTCACACGGGTGCTGCCTCTCAAGTCTCCAGCCCAGCCCGACCGAAACACAGCTCTCTGTTGACATTCGCATTTCTCTGAATTTTGCAATGCAATTCTCCAACACCACCCCAATAGGTACAAAATTGCATAGATTGGGGGGGAATGTGCACAGAGGTGCATGTCTCTGTAAAAACTGCACACAAAATCCATTATATTAGTATAATGAAATGCTATTATTAGTATTAGATATATTATTATTAAGAATTTCCTGCCCTCCACCCGAAGGTCCCAAGATGAGTCACAGCATCAAAACACAATTTTAAAACAATGATAATTACATAGCCATATGTCTGTCTGTCTATCTATCTATATCTATCATCTATCTATCTATCTATCTATCTATCTATCATCTATCTATCTATCTATCTATCTAATCTATCTATCATCTATCTATCTATCATCTATCTATCTATCATCTATCTATCATCTATCTATCATCTATCTATCATCTATCTATCATCTATCTATCTTTTATCATCTATCTATCTATCTATCTATCTATCTATCTATCATCTATCTATCATCATCTATCTATCTATATCATCTATCTATCTATCTATCTATCTATCATCTATCTATATCTATCTATCTATCTATCTATCTATCTATCTATCTATCTATCTATCTATCTAATCTATATCTATCTATATCTATCATCTATCTATCTATCATCTATATCTATCTATCATCTATCTATCTATCTATCATCTATCTATCTATCATCTATCTATCTATCTATCTATCTATCTATCTATCTATCTATCATCTATCTATCTATCCATCTATCTATATCTATCATCTATCTATCATCTATCTATCTTCTATCATCTATCTATCTATATCTATCTATCTATCTATCTATCTATCTATCTTTTTTATAAATTTTTTATTGATTTTTCAACACATATTAAACACAAACAATGCACAATACAAAAACAAACAAACAAACACATAAACACACAAGTATAATTTCAAAACCTTTTTTTTCTTAAACTCTGCTTCTCCGACTTCCCCATACCTCCCCTTTCTGCATCCCTGTTTCCAAATTTCTTTCAACAAATCCTCACTTCTACATTTAACTAATTGCCCTTTTTTTCCTTCTCTCTTACCTAATCATTTACAGCTGTAATCCTCTTTTTTTCTCTAACCTCGACATTTTAGCACTCATTAATTTTATAATAATTCTTAAGGTAAACTTTAAATTTCTTCCAATCTTCCTCCACTGTCTCTTTTCCTTGGTCTCGGATTCTGCCAGTCATTTCCAGGCGAGAATTCTACCACTGAACCACCAATGCCTATCTATCTATCTATCTATCTATCTATCTATCTATCTATCTATCTATCTAATCTATCTATAAAAATGAAAGGAGTGAAAGCCACATCCAAAAATCCCTTTGTCCTAAAACATTAGTGAGCTTTTAGGAGGACTAAATACATATATATATTGCAAATTGCTGCATGAATGTGGACAACTGAAATTAGGATTGGGAAAAATGGGAAACCTGGAGAGTGGAGATTGACAGCTCCCTGCCTGCTTCCCTCCCTCCCTCCCCCTGCCAGGCTCCAGTCTAACTGGTCTCCCTGCGGCTGGGTGTCGCCCTGTGACACCTCCCCCGTGTTTGGGAATACGCCGACCTGGGTAGGGCTGTTGCTCTGGGGCCGGATTAGAAGGGAATCCAGTGAGCCGGCTTGTGACAAGCCTTAGCGCGTCCCCCGTGAGCCGGCCCCGCCTGCCTGGCCCTTTAAAAGCCACCGGGCTCGGCTGGCAGGGTTCAGACACGGCTCTGGCAGCACCATGAAGGCAGGTGGTCTCCTCCTCCTCCTCTCCGTGGCCCTGCTGGCCCTGGGGGCCCATTGCATGCCCTCTTTGGACGCCAAGGAAGCAGAAGGTGAGTAGAAGTGGTCAGAGGGGAGCTTGGGGCCTCTGAGGCTGGGCTGGGGGCACCTCGGGTGGTCATTGGAACACAGGATTGTAGAGATGGAAGGGACCCAAAGGTCCTCTAGTCCAACCCCCTGGAATGCAGGAACCACAGCTCTAGAATCCCTGACATATGGCCACTCAACCTCCAGTGAAGGAGAGTCCACCACCTTCCAAGGTAGACCATTCCACTGCCCAACAGCTCTTACTGTCAGAAAGTTCTTCCCAAGGTTTGGTTGGAATCTCCTTTCTTGTGACTTGAAGCCGTTGGTTCAAGTCCTCCCTTCTGCATCAGCTTGCTCCATCTTCCAGGTGACAGCCCTCAGGTGGCTCTCATGTCACCACTCAGCCTTCTCTTCTCCTGGCTCTGCAGCTCCTTTTCTGCCCCACCCCACCCCCCAAGACGCACACCTGAGGCAGCTGAGTCTGACGTTCCTTCTCTCTCCACCAGTGGTCTGTGGTTGAAGGCCAGGAAGTTATGGGACCCCTCTGGCACAGTCTTTATATAGATGCCCCACAAGGTGGGCTGTCCAGACTGGGATGGGGCTGTTTGTTTTTTAGGGGTGTGCATCAAGCAGCAGGCGATCTGAGCATTGCTCCCCAAGATATCTTCCCTTGGAACTGATGGTGCTTTAGGGGGTGGGGGACTGCGTGCGCATAGGGGCACAGCCTGGGCAGGGCCCCTTCTGCACCAGCTGCCGTCTTTAGGTGCCAAAGAGAATAGAGGTAAGGGACCTGCTTGACATCAATGGGCAGGGAGTTCCAAAGTGAAACTGCTGCCATACGAAACAACCAAGTTCTTACAAATACGGAAGAGGTATTACGTGGTTCATCTTATGTTGTTACCTCTTGCACTTCTTTGTGGGAGGTGCTCTGGAAAGTGACTTATGTAAGTGACCCTTGTGGGTCTCTTAAGAATATAAGCAAATCCTGCTGGATGAGGCCAGTGACTCACCTAGTCCAGCATTCTGTTCTTACAGTGGCCAACCAGATGTTCATTATGGGAAAACCCATAAACAGGATTAGAGCATTGAGAAGAATAATCCTGGCTAGTAGCCAGCGAGAGCCCTCTCTATGAATTTCTCTAATCCGCTTTTTAAGCTGTCCAGCTTGGTGGCCCTCATTGTCTCCTGTGGCAGGGAGTTCCACAGTTTAACTCTGCACTGTGTGAAAAAGGATTTTCTTTTACTTGTCCTGAGTCTTCCAACATTCATCTTCACTGGATATCTATGAGTTCTCATGTTAGGAGAGAGAGAGAGAGAGGGAGGTAGAGAGAGAGAGAGAGAGAGAGAGAGAGAGAGAGAGACTTCTCTCTCTCTCCTTTCTCCGTGCCAGACATTGTTTTATAAACTTCTACATGTTGCCTCCCAGGGCTTATGCACACCTCTGTTTACCCCACTGCTTTCCCCTGGGAAAACCCAATCTTTAGCGCTGAATTGGAAAAAACAGCAATCGGGTTTTCCACAAACTGCCATTTGTTCTGATTGATCACTAAAGAGCAGGTTTTCCAGGGGAAAGCAGTGAGACAAAAGCAAAACTGTTTGGACCCATGCTTTGTAGACACAGGACAAGCGGAAGTGTAGATGATCACCTGGCCACCTTTAATCGAAACCCAAAAGTCCCAAAGGCTGCAACCTTTGCTCCACCCCCTTGATAGTTTTGACTGCCCTTACCCGTCCCTTTGGTGAGCTTCACCTGTGGCTCTTGCAGGCAAGGACGGCAAGGACGGCTACTGCTACAACGTGCCACCCGTGGCGAACATCTTCGAAGAGAGGAACTGTAGCGCCTGCCTCCAAAACAAGTCCTGCTCCACCTGTGACAATGACTCCCAGTGCCCGGGCACCCAGAAGTGCTGCCCAGGGGACTGTGGCTACGTCTGCCAGGAAGCCGTCATTGGTGAGTGGGGTGCTGGGTGGGGTACCTACCTGCCTGCCCCTTGCCTCTCCCCACGGCTTCTTTTCTGTGTGTTGGGGGGTGTCCGTGGGAGGCAGGCAATCTAAAAAGTTCACCCCACCAAAGCTCTCCTAAGTTATTGTGGCAAAAATGGGAGACCCTATTCCTCAATTCTCACTTTCTTTCACATTCGATAAATTTAGGAGTCCAGTGGTGGGGTGCAGAAATTTATCGGATTTGTACAGGATATTGTACATGATCGGCGCAGATTCCCCCCCCTTTTTTTTGCTATACTGAATCATGTTATTGGGTCCTTCCCCCCCATATGGCTGTAATCATATAGACAAATGTGATTTAAACATGATATTCAACCTTTATTCAGAGCCTTACGTGAAAATGTTTTGGATTGGAACACTAAGACATCGTACCTTATACGGCCCTTAAATTGCTTAGATTTTTTAAAATTTTCTTTTAGAAAACTGCTAGAATACTAAATTCCAAGGGTCACTAACACTGAGGTCCAGCGCTGAGGGCCTTCTGGCGGTTCCCTCACTGCAAGAAGCCAAGTTACAGGGAACCAGGCAGAGGGCCTTCTCGGTGGTGGCGCCCACCCTGTGGAACGCCCTCCCACCAGATGTCAAAGAGATAAACAACTACAAGATTTTTAGAAGACATCTGAAGGCTGCCCTGTTTAGGGAAGCTTGTAATGTTTGATGCATTACAGTATTTTAATATTTTGTTGGGAGCCACCCAGAGTGGCTGGGGAAACCCAGCCAGATGGGCGGGGTATAAATAATGAATTATAATATTATTATTAACTTCCAGTCCACGCAAAAGGTGCAGGTGCAAGTCAGTCATTATTTGGGAATTGCAAGAAGCATCCCTGTCACTGAGTGCTGTTCCCCCACCCATTTGTTTATTTATTTCATGAGATTTCTAAACTGCAAAGCATAGCCACTGTGGCTAACAGCCCTAGGTAGCCCCGCACCTCTCAGGGGGGCAGTACTGGCCTTTTTGGGACCGACTGATCTAGTCAGCCGGGGGACCTGCTTTCAGCTGCCCAAACATTCCCAGCTCATTGAGGGCTTGGCAAGTTGGGGCTTCCAGGAAAGTTGCATGTTCTGGCTTGTCTTTGTCTGGGGAGCCCAAGGCTGAGCTGACCAAAGGGAGGAGGGAGGTTTCAGGGTCCCACAGAGTGCCCAGGCAGCATCCTCCACGTGGGACAAAAGTGATGGATGGGGCAGGTGAGCAGGAGAAGTAGGAGGGCCAGGAGCCTTGGCTGGTTGGAGCTCCCTCCGTGGGTTTCTTAGGGACCTGGTTCAGCTCCTGAAGGCTGCATCCGGTCATGTTCAAAGTGCCAAAAATAATATTGGGTGCGGGATTCTCAAGCAACAACTGGATAATTGCTGCCTTTAAAAAGTCATAGAATTGTAGAGTTCAGGGACTGACAGGCGTCATCCTGCAATGAGGGAATCACAGTTGAAGATTCCCAGCAGCTCAAGTCATCACAAGGTGTGCGTGTGTTCTAAAAGGGACCTTCAAAATGCAATTTTGAAAATCAGTCTTCAGAACATCGCTCATTCTTTGGTGGCTCTGACTTTCAGGGAACGGAGAGATTGAGGTGTTGGGAGACCCCACCAATGGGAAATGGGAATTGTAGTTTTCCTGCTACAGGACACAGACGTGTGGCCAGTGTAAACTGCTTGACATTTGAGGGGTGCTTTGCTGCGCTCCCCTACAGGGTAGACTTTCCTTGCTCTTAACATTCCAAAACAAGGAGAATTCCAACAGGTACAATTTCTCCAAGCACGGTGCTGTGTCGGCGAAGGGAGCCGTGCCTGCAGAAATTCTCCACTCTGCGCAGCAGTGCCTGCAATGGAATCTGGAAACCAGCCAGTAGCTTCCTGTGCCAAATCCCTCCTCACACCTGAGACGTTCAGCTTGAAGGTGTGAGCACCTGTGTCTTGGGAAGGGAGGGAGGGAGAAAGAGGCTGAGCTGTGTCCCCACACCCTTCAGTGTGGCTCACCTCACGTTTCTTTGTGGTTCTGTGTCTTGCGCTGGGTGGGAACCACCTCTGACTGCCTCACGAGTAGGGCTGAGCCAGGCTGGCAACACAATACCCCAAAAAATCTCAGAACCAGGATGATGGAAATGTCGTGAGTTTCTCCATCGTCCTCGCCTTCCTCAGCACCACACAGAGCTACACATCACCAGCTGCCTCTTGCCAGCTGTTGCCAATGCACCTGTGGCTGTTCATAGGCAGGAGAACCCACCTATGCAGGTGTGACTTGAAGCCCTTCCAACTTTGTGTATGTGAGAGACCAAGCTTGGCTTGAGCCTTTGCTTGCGTCCCCAAAGGTACAAAGTGAAAGGAACTTCTGCACATATTCAAAAGCAAATTTGGAGCAAAATTATAGTGGGTTTTTTTAAAAAAACCCAAAGCAAGTAAGAACTTAAGAAGTGCTGCTCTCCCCTCCTGCCTTTTCCAGCAACTCATATTCAGAAGCGTTATTGCTTCCAGCTGTGGAGGCCTCGGTCCAGTAGACGTGAAGGAGCGTCTCCACTCCTATCATTCTGCCCGGACACTGAGGCCCAGATCCGAGGGCCTTCTGGCGGTTCCCTCACTGCGAGAAGCTAAGTTACAGGGAACCAGGCAGAGGGCCTTCTCGGTGGTGGCGCCCGCCCTGTGGAATGCCAAAGAGAAAAACAACTACCAGACTTTTAGAAGACATCTAAAGGCAGCCCTCTTTAGGGAAGCTTTTAGTGTTTAATAGGTTATTGTATTTTAGTGTTCTGTTGGAAGCCACCCAGAGCGGCTGGGGAAACCCAGCCAGATGGGCGGGGTATAAATAATAAATTATTATTATGTTATTATTATTATCATGGCTAGCGGACAGACCTATCCTCCATGAAATTGGCTAAGCCTTTTTCATAGAATCGCAGAATTGTAGAGTTGGAAGGGACAACAAGGTATCATCTAGACCCGGAGTTGTCAACCTGGTCCCTACCGCCCACTAGTGGGCATTTCAGGATTCTAGGTGGGCGGTGGTGGGTTCTACAACACAAGCTGAATTCCTTCCATCGAGCACCGGTGGGTGGTAAGGAAATTTTACCATCAAGAAAGATGCATTAGCGGGCGGTAGGTATAAAAAGGTTGACTACCCCTGGTCTAGTCCAACCCCCTGCAATGCAGGAATCTTTTGCCCAAAATGGGGCGTGAACCCACGACCCAAAGTCTCATGCTTTCTGCTGACTGAGCTATCAGTTGGTGGCTGCCACCGTCTCCTGCAGAAGTGAGTTCCGTAGTTTCCATCCCTTTGTTTGTACTCCTGTCAGGGTCAGATTTAGGTTTGATGAGGCTCTCAGCTCCTGAAGGTAATGGGGCCCTTTCTATGACCAGCTGTCCTTTGCCAAGAACAAATTGTCGCTGTTTTTTGTGTTGCTATATGGTAATTTATTCACCTAATAGGTATCTCAAGCCGTTTGCACATAACAAACAGGAGCCTATACAACACAAAACACTGTTGCTGTTTGTAGGTTTTATCATATTTGTTTTTTATCTTATATTTTGGAAATGTACATCCAGTTTTTTTTATCCTTTAAATTGTTTTGGGGCCCCCAAGCGAGTGGGGCCCTAAACTATAGCTTGTTTAGCTTATACGTAAATCCAGCGCTGACTCCTGGGCTATCCCACTTTTAAAATTGGTTTATGTGAGAAATATGACCGCGGTGTTTAAGTATCACCATGTCTTATTCAACAATTCTCTGGAAGCTTGCTCTTTCTAAAACCTTGAGGCACAATTTGGAGCAGGAGAACTGAAAAGGAAGGCGAGGACAGCTGGCATTTTTTGGGCATGAGCTCAGCCATGGTTTTTCCACCCGAGGGTGACATTTGTCACCAGCCAGCACATGCCTGAGCGTCAACACCTGAAGCCTCCCTGAGTTTGCCTGCGCATTTCCAGATCCGGTCTGTCCGGTTATGCAAAGAATTCTCCTCCGTCCTTCTTTCTCCCCTGCGTGCCAAGAAGATCGATTAATAGGGTAGAAACCGAGCGTTGCCAACGAAGGTGGGGGCCTTCTGATGTTTCCTTCCTCCTATGGCCTGCCTCACATTGCTTTGCACCCTCCCTTCCCTCCCTCTCTCTGGACCCCACAGACTTCTGCCGCCTGCCCTCGGTCTGCGGAAACTGCAAGGCGATGTTCGCTCGCTACTTCTACAACGCCTCCACCCAGAAATGCGAGCAGTTCGTCTATGGCGGCTGCGGTGGGAACAAGAACAATTTTGACACGGTAGACGACTGCATCCGAACCTGCGGGAAGTCCCGTGAGTACGCACTTTTAAGCATAGCATGAGCTGACAGTGTGATGCTGCAGCAAAAAAGGCGCAGGCTATTCCAGGTTGCATCAGCAGAAGTCTAGTGCCCAGAACAATAGGAGCAGTCTATTCTGCCTTGGCCAGATCCCACCCAGAGTTTTGGGTACCATGACTTAAGGAGGATATGGTCAAGCTGGAAGGTGTGCAGAAGAGGGTGACCAAGATAATCAAAGGCCTGGGAACCAAGCCTTATGAGGAACGGTTGAGGGAGCTGGGTGCGTTTAGCCTGGAGAAGAGACGACTGAGAGGTGATATGAGGAAGGGCAATATAGCTCAGTGGTAACAGCATCTATCTTGCAAGCAGAAGGTCCCAGATTCAATGGCACCTCCAGGTGGAGTTGAGAGAGACTCCTGCCTGAAATCCTGTAGAGCCGTTGCTGCCAGTCGGCGTAGACCAGGCTTCCTCAACCTCGGCCCTCCAGATGTTTTTGGACTACAACTCCCATGATCCCTAGCTAGCAGGACCAGCAGTCAGGGATGATGGGAATTGTAGTCTCAAAACATCTGGAGGGCTGAGGTTGAGGAAGCCTGGTGTAGACAATACTGAGCAACATGGAACAATGGTATAGGGCAGTTTCCTAGATTCCTACATTTTGCCATCATCAAATCTCTGAAGCGGTGTGATATGGAGGATGGAGCAGCTGGAGTGTTTCTTTGGAGCTTCTTGGTGCAGCTATCCAGCTGTGCAGGGGATCAATATTTGGACCCACCAAGCTCCAGAGTGTGAGATTTTGATCAGCTCCTGCCCATCTGGAACTGATACAGGCTCGTCTTATCTTGAGCCTAAAGCAGAGTGTAGTCACGCAGCAAAAGGATAAGCAGGTAATGTGCTACATGCTGAAGTTTATTTACAAGCTATGCTGAGAGCATACAAACATACATCTTGCCTCTGTGAGAGCAGAGAAGCAACTCACTCTCGACACAAAGAAACCGAGAGAACACTGAAAAACAGGAAACCAGTGTATGTCACATCCAGTCTCCCATTCCCGTGGGAACCCAACAGTAACTTGGACTGTGGAATGCAAAACAATGTCTTGTGACATGCATTCGCTGCTCATTGAGGAAGCAGAAACCAACACAGAGGAGGACATGACTTGCTCTTTCTCTAAATTGTCCTCCTTTCTTTTCCAGGGACGGCCTAGACCGAGAAAGCCATCGGGGCAGACCTGTCCCCTCACTGCGAGATCTGACTCCGTCCTCCTCTCAGCAGCTGCACCTTCCTTCCTGGCCTGGTGGAGAAGGGGCTCAGAGACCCCTGACATCTTTGACTCTGTTTCGGAAAATGGGATGAGAGGAGCAAGGGATCCTGTGTGCGCGCTCTGCCTGCTCTCCAACCTGCCAGCTCCTTGATCGTGGGTTCCTGGGAATGCCTCACCCTCTGCAATGCGTCCGACATGTTTCTGCATGAAAGCAATACCTGTGTCGAAAGCCTGTGTCACAATCGATACTTAACCCCCGTCTGACACTTCTCTGCTGTTTCCTGTGATAGTCTTGGCAGGGGAGACCAAGAATTTGTGCTTCAGGCCTCTTGGTCCACATCTTCGTAGATCCTTGATCCTGTGGCAAAGTCTAAGGATCTCCAAAATCATAGAATTGTAGAGTTCTAGTCCAACCTGCTGCAATGCAGAATCTCTGACAGGTGGCCATCAAACCTCTGCTGATAAACCTCCAAGGAAGGAGATCATTTTACCCAAGGAGCGCTGCTGGATGACCCGCTGACATGGCTGCCCCCTCTCGTGGTTTCCGTTGCTCCCCAATTGTTGCTTGCAGCCCCCACTGCCTGCTCCCCTGCAGCTGTCCCTGACCTCGGTGATGACCTGAGTGGCGTGAGATGCACTTGTTTGCGCTTTGGAAGGGGAGAAGGGCTTTGCTAGGATATACGGCTGTGCTCCCCATCCCAAGGAAACGTGAAGCAAAAACTGCATTTGTCCAAGCAAAGCTCATAGCAGATCCTCTCCCCCATTTGGAAACTGAGCCATGCAAGGCAGGTGCCCGCTGAGAAAAAGATGTCACCTTATGTCCAAGATGCAGAAAAAGGCAGATACCAGCCGCCTCCTGAGTGTTAAGTTCCTAGAATCCGAGAACAGTAGAGTTGGACCCCAAGAGTCATGGGCATAGCCAGGATCTTTGCTGGGGGGGCGGGCGGGGAGAGAACCTCAGTTAGCTATGTATTTTTTAATTTTTTTATTGATTTAGGGGGGCATCTGCCCCTCCCTGCCCCCCGGCTATGCCCATGCCAAGGGTCATCTAGTCTCTCTGTTGATGTGTTGGTGCTTTCTAAATACTCAAATAAAGAAATAAATAAACAGATTTTGGCTGGTGCTCATGAATGAATGAATGAATGGGTACTGACTGTCACCCGTTGGTGGGTCTATGTTCCAGGCAGCACCTGTCCAAGCACAGAGGTGTAGGCAGAGAGGGAGGGGGCTGGACAAGGGGCAGGGACTGAGAACCAGTCTTGTTTGTGATGCCAGCCCTTCTTAGGTACTCCTTAAAGGTAAAGGGACCCCTGACCATTAGGTCCAGTCGTGGCCGACTCTGGGGTTGCGGCGCTCATCTCGCTTTATTGGCCGAGGGAGCCGGCGTACAGCTTCTGGGTCATGTGGCCAGCAGGACTAAACCACTTCTGGCGAACCAGAGCAGCGCACGGAAACGCCGTTTACCTTCCCGCCGGAGTGGTACCTATTTATCTACTTGCACTTTGAGGTGCTTTCGAACTGCTAGGTTGGCAGGAGCAGGGACCAAGCAACGGGAGCTCACCCTGTCAGGGGATTCGAACTGCCGACCTTCTGATCGGCAAGCCCTAGGCTCAGTGGTTTAACCCCCAGCGCCACCCGCGTCCCCTCTCTGGATGTACATGAGTGTAAATAAAACCCTCTAGTCTAAATAAACCACAGTCTCTGCTGACCTTTATTCCAAGGAACCTGCAACTCCAGGAGCCCATCACCGTTTGGCGACTGGAGTGTCATGTAACAACACAATCACCAGATTTTTCAGGCTGCAGATAAGGCAGTGATTTTTTTTAAATTTTATTAAATGTTTTCACATAACAAATTATTCCAACAAATCATCTTCATTATGTTTTCTCCCATTTTTCCCTCCCCTCCCCCCTCCCTACGACTTCCCTCAGCTCCTCTCTCTGATTTTTTAACCCATATTATTCTCTGCATGCTATAAAAATGTAAAGATCCTCAACTTATCTATCTATTAGATTAGTAACAATAAGTTTGTGTATGTTTATTCAAAACCTGCCTAGGAGTCCAGTTTATTTTGTTGTTTTTTAAAATAATTTGTAAAAGGTTCCCATTCTTCTTTAAAGTCACAGTTGTCCTTATCTCGCAATTTATATGTCAAATTCGCGATAAGTAAGGTGATACGGCAGTGGTTTTATTGCAGGGCGCACAAAGCTCCACTTAACCCTCCAAGCAAACCGGCCGCTGAAGCAGCCTTAGAATGGTGAATTCTCAAAAATGACTGAAAAGCATTAAAAATACAAAATTCACTGTGGTTCTGCCACCCCCCCCCAGCAAAAGCCTGCTCTCTAACAACTCCCTCCCCAACAACAAGAATCCTGGCTACGCCCATGCCAGAAAGGCATATGGTGAGTACCAGAAGCAGAGTCAGGTCCCTGCTCCCAAAAGCTTACAATATGTTGGGAGGCAGGGAGGGTAACGAAGGATGATCGCATTGTGCAAAGACTCTGCAGAAAAGGAGTTTTGAGGAATGAGAGAGATGGTATCACAGGGCTATTCTCTGGAAGGGGGGAGGAGGACATAGAATCATGAAACTGTAGAGTCGGTAGGGACCCCAGGGGTCATCTAGTCCAACCCCCTGCAATTCAAAAATGGTCACATGACCTTTCTATCCCACCCAACAGAATCATGGAATAACAGAACTGTAGTCTTGCTTAAGTTGGGAGATGGGTGACTTCCCCAAGGTCCCCTGGTGGGCTTCATGGCAGAGTGCTCTAACCACTGCACCACACTGCCAGAAGGGGCAGCAAGGGAGAAGGAGCCCCTCTGAGGGAGCAGGGACCCTTCTGAGGGCTGTGGCTGGAGAAGCAAAGATCGAGGTCTTAAGATATAAGTGTGGTCAAGCAAGGGGGAGAAAGAGAGGAGAAGGAAGGGGGAGTCAGCCTTGGGTTGGTGGTCTCTTCTTTGGAGGGTCCCAGGAGCTTTGCATCTTGCCTTGGAGGGGGGTCACTGTCTACCTGTAAAAAGAAGAGAAGCACCCCCATCAGTCTCAGAGGGCTTGTCTTACCAGATGGAGATTTGGAACATGATAAACCCATCAGAAGGCATGCTGGGTCAGGCCAGGGACCCACCAGAAGACCAGCATCCTGGACACACAGTGGCCAAACAGATTCCTGTGGGAAATCAGCATGCAGGATCTCTTGCGGTTTCCAGAAACTGGCAGCTAGACTGGTGATTGGGAGTGGCCACCGAGACCACATAACACCTGTCTTGAAAGACCTACATTGGCTCCCAGTACGTTTCCGAGCACAATTCAAAGTGTTGGTGCTGACCTTGAAAGCCCTCAACGGCCTCAGTCCAGTATACCTGAAGGAGCGTCTCCACCTCCATCGTTCTGCCCGGACACCTGGGTCCAGCTCCCAGGGCCTTCTGGTGGTTCCCTCCCTGCGAGAAGTGAGGTTATAGGGAACCAGGCAGAAGGCCTTCTCGGTGGTGGCGCCCGCCCTGTGGAATGCCCTCCCACCAGATGTCAAGGAGATAAACAACTACCAGACTTTTAGAAGACATCTGAAGGCAGCCCTCTTTAGGGAAGCTTTTAATGTTTAACAGACCACTGTATTGTAATACTTTGTTGGAAGCCACCCAGAGTGGCTGGGGAAACCCAGCCAGATGGCCGTGGTATAAGTAATAAATTATTATTATTATTATTATTATTATTATTATTATTATTATTATTATTATTACCATGAGCTGCACAGAACTGTAGGCAGTCTTCTTTCGTCAAAAAGTTGTTTCCGTTGCCTCCGTGCCCTCGATAGATGAACCCCTCACAGGTCCTGGAGGTGGGGTTGTAGTAAAAGCGAGTGCGTAGAGCGTCCCCGTTTCCTTGATGCTGTGGGAGCTCGCAGACACCTGGAACGAAACAGCAGGAATTTGCCAAAATCTTCCTCTGTGCAGGCACAGGGCCTTCTTGGTAGTGGCGCCCTCCCTGCGGAACCCCTCCCGTCCTCCTGTCAGATGTCAAGGAAATAAGCAGCTACCTGACTTTTAGAAGACTTCTGAAGTCAGCCCTGTTTAGGGAGGGCTTTAAAGGCTCGGTGTTTTCATTATGTTTTCATTTCATTTTCATTTTTTAAATTTTGTGTCTTTTATACTTAGGACTGTTTTTAGGAGACTGAACTTAGTTTGACTGCACACAGAATATTTTCTGACAAAGGGAAGAGCCATGTAGAATCAGATGCACAAGTAGCATATTTTTTAATGTAAGAGAACTTTTAAAAAGATGAATTTAATTTAATGAAAATGGGGGTGGGGAGAAATTTATTATGCTTTTAGTTATGCTGTAAACCGCCCAAAATCGCTGGAGAAACCCAGTCAGATGGGTGGGGTATAATAATAATAATAATAATAATAATAATAATAATAATAATAATAATATTTAAGAGAATACTGTAAACAACCATGTGGCCCCTGAAAGATTGTCCATGAGGGAATATGGCCCTCAGGCGTAACGGGCTCCTCAGCCTGGTCTAGGGCCTTTTCAGTGGTGGCTCCACATCTGTGGAACTCCTTGCCCAAGGCAGTCTGTTTGGCCTGCTCCCTTCTGGACTGTAGACAGCAGGTGGAAAACATTTGTTTCAAAGAGCTTTAGACTGTAGGAAACTTTAGCCCATGGGTAGACAAACTAAGGGACGCGGGTGGCACTGTGGGTAAAAGCCTCAGCGCCTAGGGCTTGCCGATCGAAAGGTCGGCGGTTCGAATCCCCGCGGCAGGGTGCGCTCCCGTCGCTCAGTCCCAGCGCCTGCCAACCTAGCAGTTTGAAAGCACCTTCGGGTGCAAGTAGATAAATAGGGACCGCTTACTGGTGGGAAGGTAAACGGCGTTTCCAGGGCTGCGCTGGCTCGCCAGATGCAGCTTGTCACGCTGGCCACGTGACCCGGAAGTGTCTCCGGACAGCGCTGGCCCCCGGCCTCTTAAGTGAGATGGGCACACAACCCTAGAGTCTGTCAAGACTGGCCCGTACGGGCAGGGGTACCTTTACCTTTACCTTAGACAAACTAAGGCCCAGGGGCTGGATCTGGCCCAATTGCCTTCTAAATCTGGTTCGCGGACTGTCCGGGAATCAGCTTGTTTTTACATGAGTAGAATGTGTCCTTTTATTTAATATGCATCTCTGGGTTATTTGTGGGGCATAGGAATTTGTTCATCCCCCCCCAATATAGTTCAGCCCCCCACAAGGTTTGAGGGACAGTGGACCGGCCCCCTGCTCAAAAAGTTTGCTGACCTTTCATTCCTTGGCCCTTCTTTCATCTTGCATACAGTATTTCACGGCATGCATAAAGCAAACAGAGAAAGGGATGAATTAACCCTCCCCGTCCCCAGCCCACCGGACTGTCCCCCTGCCTGCTCACCAGGATCCGCACACGTCTGCAGGCAACTCAGCTGCGTCCCAAAGTTGTTCCTGTTGCCCCCGCAGCCTCGGTAGAGAAACTTCAGACACTGCCCCGTGTGGGGGCTGTGGTGGAATCGAAGGGTGGAGTTGTCGCAATGGCCGGGGTCACTGGGGAGGTTGCAGAAATCTAGGCACGGAGGAGAGACCCGTTTTACAGACTGTGGCGAGGTCAGAGAATCATAGAATGGTAGAGTTGGAAGGGGCCCCGAGGGTCATCTAGTCCAACCCCCAGCAGGAAGGAATCTCAGCTCAAGCATCCAGGACACATGACCACCCAAGCTCTGCTTAAAAACCCCCAGGAAAGGGGACACTGGGTGGCGATGGCGCTGTGGTCGCAATATGTATGGCGCTCAGAAATAAAATTCACAACAGCAATAAGATGACATGGGTGGAAATGTAAAAAGATAAAATAAACTTTGGGGAATTATTTATAATGAGCTAAAAACAATAACATTTAAACTAACTTTCATCAAAAAACCAGAAGCCTTCCTTTTAGGCATCATGGCGGCAGATATTCCGAAGGAACTGAGGAAGATATTCGTGCATGCAACCACCGCCGCGAAAATGCTGATAGCCAAACGGTGGAAGGGACACAAAATGCCAACTAAAATGGCATGGCAGGCGAAATTATTTGGCCATGTAGAATTGGCAAAGATGACAGGGAAAATTAGGAAGGAGACAAAGCAAAAGTTTAACAAAGAATGGGATACGTACAGATTATATTTAAAAGAACATGGTTGACATATGAAATCTTTGATGTGCTTTGATTAACTTCTGCAATGTTGTATGCTACAAAGATTATAGATAATTTATGATAAGTTAAAGGTCACACAATATGCAGTCAACAAGGAAACGAAGAACCCATGCTGAGGCTGGCGGAAGTCTCAACGTATGGAAGAATTTATTTTATATGTAACATTTCCTTTGTATTTGATGTGTTTTGTTTTTCCTTTGGTTCTTTTTGTGGGGAATGGATTCAATATTTAAAATCGATAAAGATCAAATTGCGAGAGAGAGAAACAAAAAGAGAGAGAGAGGGAGAGAGAGCCAAAGGAGGTCAGGAGAAATAAGCAGGGTGGGAGGGGAGTGTTGGTGGGTGGGTGGGAAACATTAAACTACTACTACTAATAGTTTATTTATACCCCGCCCATCTGGCTGGGCTTCCCCAGCCACCCTGGGCTGCTTCCAACCAAATATTAAAATACAGTAATACATAAAAGCATGAGAAGAACCTGCTGGATCACGACAATGGCACATCTCATTCAGCATTCTGTGCTCACAGCAGCCAACCAGAGGCTTGTGAGAAACACAGGAACAGGATCTGAGCACAAGAGCAACTCTGCCCTCCTGTGGTTTTCCAGCAACTGGCCTTTGAAACCATTCACTGCCTCTGACTGTAGAGGCAGAGCAGAGCCATTCTGGCTAGGAGCCATCGATAGCCCTCTGTTCCTGCTTAAATCCATCCAAACCTCTTTTAAAGCCATCTGATTAGCCCAGAGGTTTTCAACCAGTGTGCCATGGCACCCTGGGGTGCCTTGAAGGATGGTGCTGTGGGCAACCCTGGCCTCCATCCCTCTTTCCTTCTCTGTGGGGCAGGTATGGGGCTGCTCAGAGACAGAGGAGTGGCAGCAGCGGCTGCTGGAGGGATTCCCAAGGAGGCTGAGGGAACACTCCACAAGGGAGGGTGTTTGAAAAGGGTTGGGGGCTGCTGGCTTTGTGGTCAAGGGGTGGCGTAACTGGGCTCTCAAGCCCCACAGGGGTGCCACAGAAAGAATGTAGTTGGTCAAGGGAGCCGTGGACTCACAAAGCTTGAAAACCTCTGGATCAGCCAAACAATTTGCGAATAATGTGAAGAGAGAGAGAATGCTAAAAACACGCAGAGGAATGTTTGCCATCCTAGAGGCATCACCAGCCTGTTGAGAAAACTTGGGAAGGTGCCTTCACATCACAGACTTTACACTTACCAGGAACAGAATGGGATGCCAGCTCCGTCAGAAGCTCCTCATCAGCTCCTAAAGGAAGAGATAATGGCAGGTGAAATTCAAGAGGCCAACCTTAAGTTACCTGTATGAGGGAAAGGCTAGAAATTAACTGGGTCATGTCTGCTTCCGTGTGGCACTTGGCATCACTCCTAACATCGTTCTCAGTGGGGCCTTGCCCCAGAAGCATCTTAATGCCAAACTTGAGGGACCTTTCCTTTCCATATGCCAGGTGTGGGGAACCTTTGGCCCACCGGGTGCTTGCTGAACTACAACTCCCATCTTCACCACGGCCATTGGGCATGCTTGGTGAGGTGGAAGGGAGTTGTAGTTCAGAAACATCTGCATGGGCCATGAATGCCTCGTTCCTATTGCAGCACAGCCAGCTGCCGTAATCCAAAACAGCTGCCAGGACTCAGGCTAGAAAAGGCTTCACTACCAAGACCTGCCCCCAGTGGCGTAGCGTGGGTTGTCAGCACCCGGGGCAAGGCAAGTAATTTGCACCCCCTAACCCGTGGATTTGCGCCCCCTAACCCATGGATTTGCCCTAACCCCAGATGTTGCGCCCGGTACGGCCGGCCCCCCCTGCACCCCCCACGCTACGCCACTGCCTGCCCCCAACACCTAGAGGGCAGAAAGCATGCACAGCTGGACATGGAGGGCCACCAAAAGCAGGTTTGGCCCCCGGTGAAATTTTTTTGGGGGGCACCTCTGCAAAGGCTAAGAATCTTTACATAGATATAAAATAACGGCATGGTCTCATTTTTATGTTAATAATAAATATGATGGTATCCATACTTGTTGAGAATATTAAGATCCTAATGACTCATATCAATAATACAAGCACCCACACGATTGTTGCAGAACCAACCATGCACTTTAAATGTTAGGCCTGTGTGGGCAACACAACCCAATGTGTATCACACAAGCGCTTTGCTGTATTCACACGGGCTTCGCTTACGAAAACATACAATCATAAAATGAGGCTGTGCTGTCTTGCCATCAAAGCGCAGGAGCGAATGTTCCTATAGATTTGGAAATGCTCAGAAACGCTCAGTTCACAGCACAAGTGTGCAAGCCATTGCTCAGAACTGTGCGTGCACTGAACGTAAAATATGGATTTGGTTAAGAATTACATAAATCAAAAGAATCGGACTGCCGGGCCCCAGGAATTTGGACCTCATCTCAGCCCTGTGAACCTGCAAGCGCTGAGGGCAAAAGGGCTAAATGCTTCTGGGCATGACGACTCGGCGCAGTCCTTGCCTGGTTTTCCTCATGAGTCCCCCCTGGCCTGGGCAAACAAAGACCACCCTCAGGTGGGGTGCACGACCGCCATGTCCCCCACTCACCCCTTGGCAGGTGACGCCAGCTCTCACCACTACCAGCAGCAGAAGAGTTGGCACAGGTGGATAAGAGCCCCAGAAACAGGAGAAGGGCAAGGTGGAGCTGCATGGTGCTCTCTGGAAGCGGAGTGGGGGCTCCCTGGGGGTGGGACCTTCTTATAAGGCAGCTGGGGGAGGTGAGCCAGGAGTAGTTTAACCACAGGCAGCAGGCGACAGTTGCCCATGACTGGCGCAACTTTCCTCTGGGCCAGAGAATGACATTGGGAAACCAAATTAAAAAATTCCTTCCAGTAGCACCTTAGAGACCAGCGAAGTTTGCTCTTGGTGTGAGCTTTCGTGTGCATGCACACTTCTTCAGATACACTGAAACAGAAATCACCAGACCTTTATAGATGGCTAAAAATAGCTTTATCATCTATAATGAGATAAGAATCCAATGTCTCTATTCAGACCAGGTCTCTCCATGGTTTTAAGTTTGGCAATAAGTTGCAATTCAGCAACTTCTCTTTCCAGTCTATTTCTGAAATTCTTTTGTAATATGACAGCTACTTTGAGATCTTGTCTAGAATGTCCTGGGAGATTGAAGTGTTCTCCTACTGGTTTCTCTGTCTTGTGATTCCTGATGTCAGATTTATGTCCATTTATCCTTTGGCGTAGAGTTTGGCCTGTCTGTCCAATATAGAGAGCTGAAGGGCATTTGATGGCACTTGATGGCATACACAATGTTAGAAGATGAGCAATTAAATAGGACTATTACAAAAGAATTTCTCATTATACATGATAAAGCTATTTTTAGCCATCTCACCCCTTGCTTTTTCCTGTAAGACCAACTGCAGTCCTTAACAGTCATCAACAGGTCTACCACACCTCTCAGCCAATCACCCATTCCCACCCCCCTTCTGAGTAATACCCCTCCCCACCCTCTCACTATATATAAGGGTCTGGTGACTTCTGTTTCAGTGTATCTGAAGAAGTGTGCATGTGCATGAAAGCTTATACCAAGAAGAAACTTAGTTGGTCTCTAAGGTGCTACAGGAAGGAATTTTTTTATTTTCTTTTGACTACAGCAGACCAACACGGCTACCTACCTGTAATTGGGAAACCAAACCCCTAAGTGCCTGTGCCAGTGAGGAACCCCAGAGCAACTAGGGGTCTTAGCAGACTGCAAGCTGAACACGAGTCCACTGTGGGATGCAGCAGCAAGAGAGCTGCTCTTATTCTAAGCTGCGTCAGCAGAGCTATAGTGTCCATGTCAAGAGAAATAACAGTACCACTCTATTCTGCATTGCAGGGGGTTGGACTAGAGGACCCTTGGGGTCCCTTCCAACCTTCCAATTCTATCATTCTATGCTTCCATGGACTCCCTTGCACAAATGTGCATGGATGTTCAGTCTGTGTGTATGTGTGTGTTTGTGTACGTGTATGCACAAAATATTTTGGAGAAGAGCTGCCTGTTTAACAACCACTTGGCTGCTGAATATTTTGCAACTGTCAGGTCTAACCACTCCAGATAGTATCGCAATTGCTGCATCAGCAGTTGAAGAAATACTCCTGGCTGTTGCTGCCACCAGCTGGGTTTTCCTGGGTAGCACAGAGCCAGGTTAACTCCCCAAGGCTGAGTTTGAATGAGGCTTGTCTACCTGCAGAACTCTTCTAATGTCAACCTGCCATTTCTTTTTCCCAGATTCGAATTGTGAGCTGAGAGTTTAGTGGGCGGCAGAGTCCATGATGCACCCTTTATTCTTTTTTTAAATTTTTTCTTTGCAGTCAATAAATATTAAAAAAAACAAGGCAGATGTTCCATACCTGCGTTGATTTTCCCACAGGACTTCTGACATTCCTCCTTTGTGCTAAATCGGTTGCTGTTGCCCCCGCAGCCACCATAAACAAACTGAAGGCACTTCCTCCGCACTGGGCAGTAGAAGTAAAGTTGAACGTATGCTCTGCATAATCCGGTCTCAGGGGGCAATAGGCATCGGTCGCTGGGAACTGTGGGAGGCAGAGGGGATGGAGGTCAAGGAGGGGATGCTCTGAGGTCTGTGCCCTTTTTGTGCTAGTGTTGTGCAGGTGTTGTGCCAGTACCTGGGTCCAGGCAGTCCCGGCCACAGCCGCTGAAGCAACATTTCTTGGTGATGTCACAGTCTCTGTCGTCTTGGCACTTGTCCTCGCAGGGGGCAAAGCTATGCACCACTTTCTTTCTCGGACACATGCCAGGGTGCTCTGGGGGAAGAGAAAAGAGTGGTGAAGGAGGAGAGGTTTGCATCTGTGCCCTGAACCACAGAAGCAGGAGCCCAGTTCTAAGTAGCTTATTTTCCCTTCTTTTAATAAGTTCAATGTGGTGGTGGTGGTGGGGTTTGACAAGAAATGTTCTGCACGGGGTGCCACCTGACCTTGCTACGCCACTGGTTCTACCTCCTCCAGCCACACTCTTATCTGAATGACGCCACGAGTCCCTTCCAGTTCTTGGTGTGGGATGTGAAACACAAGAGCAGTCAAGTACCGGTACAACATTCCTAGAGTGAACATGTTTTCACATGGGGAGGAATGTTTGTCCAGCCAGCAGGTAAGCTTCCTGTTTCCTTCTGGGCTGGGACAGACTTCCTCTGCATGTGACTAGAGGTGGGCGTGGCCTCACCTGTGCAGGTAACGACAAAAGCACAGGGCAGGGCAGCCATCTCTCTCTCTGTGTGACTACATGTGTCAAAGAAGCAACATCGGCTTAGCCAAAGATGCTCTCTGTCTCCTTATGAGATAGTTTCCAGGTGTATGTTACTTTTCTAAGCTAAGTCTGCCTTCTGGGATCCTATTGTGAACAGAATGATGTGTGAGTAAACCTTTTTATACTTTTATAGAAGACTGTGTCATGTCTTATCTTTTATGAGGGAAAAAGGGGAAAATACCAGAACAGTTATTATAGAGGCTTTAGCGACCCTGAGTAAATGCATCCGCTGCAAGTTTAAAAAGGGGAATGTTACTCTGCTAAATTGTGAACTTGTTAACACAAGTTGGAAAAGGATATAATCAGACAATATATTCTCTCCTGCATCCCTGAACATTCCCACACTTGGGGTCTTGCACCCAGGGAGGGTTAGAACAGAACAGTGGACAGTCTCTTTGTGAGCCATTGGCCTTGGCTGGCCCCTTAAGTGTCCTCTTCAGCATCCCCAAAGGATGAGTGATGAAGCTCTCCAGGCTAATGGTGTGGGGGGAGCTTTCCTCGATCCCCCTCACCCAAGCGCTACATAGCAGGAGTTTTTTAGTGTGAGCTGAGCTGGAAGCAGGCTGGAAGCTGGAGACACAGAGACAGAATTGCTCTGTGCTGGATCCAAAGCTGTGGCTAATGGAGAAGCAGGGGCTGTTGGGGTGTTAATTCTTAGAATTCCTGCTCCATGATTGCAGTCATGGGATTGTCGTCTATCACATGACGGTGCATGTTTTGACTCCACAGTGTGGGAAGTGACAGAGACAGGATGTTTGTGTTCCTGTGTTCCGTGAAGTGAGACTATTGTCCTTTGTTCTTTTTCTCTTTGCTGTCTGATGCTAGAGAGAGACGGAGCCATGTTGCAGTGCTCCATGTATGTTTATATGAAAATAAAGTAGATTAGCCAAAATGCTGAGTTGCTGAGGTCTGTTACGCAAGCTGCAAAGACTCTGCGGATCCCTAAGTGTGCCGGTGTCGGTTGGCATCGGTCGCTGTGATGTTCAGGCTGAAGAAAGCTTATGAAGCTCCTGAACGATCGACCAGTTGGGCATGTGTCTCAGCCAGGGTCCTACTCGAGTGTAGGCTGAACTCCTGACATTAATGTCATGAGCCCCTCCATCCTATGCCCAGGCTGGATATATGTGTGAATACAACCACATATCCTAAAGACACCACAGTCTGACCTCCAAGGAAACCTGGGTAAGTGCCTTGAACCCCTGTTTGGGGAACCCCTGTTTAGGGAAGTTTTTAATGCTTGATGTTTTATTGTGCTTTTAATTCTGTTGGGAGCTGCCCAGAGTGGCTGGGAAAACCCAGCCAGATGGGTGGGATATAAATAAATTATTATTATTATTATTATTATTATTATTATTATTATTATTGACTCTCTCCCTTCTCCTGGCCAATGCTAATGGTCTCTCTTGTCTTTCATAGCTGCATGTACATGAACTACCCTCTCTAGACATCTCTGAAAAAGGCACTGTGGCAACAGAGTCCAGAGGCTCTGGTTGATGTTTCGAATGCCAGGGCTCAATCCTAGAATGTGTGAGGAAGTGACAAATGAGAGTGCTGCTGAGCATGTGCAGAGTGCATTGCTCTCTCCCACCCCTGGGTCCCACAGTACTACCACAGGCAATCACAAAACAGCTGGGCATTAGGGAGTGGAGATTCTGCAAGTGGCCTCTGCACCACCCCTTCTTGGGCAGGATCCATGCTCTGGGCTCTACAAAGCACCATGAATAGTGACGCTGCTGAACATCCTTCCCAAGTCCTGGTGGCATCGCCCCCCCCCCCCGGTCATTCCTGGAGAAGCAATACCTTCCTCAGCCTCCAGGCAAGTCTGCAGATGACCGTAACTGCAGCACTTCTTCCTTGGGGAGTCAGCGCCTGAACCACAACTTAAGTCAGAAGAACAATTTGCTACATTCTGGCTGGATTGGGGAGGCTCCCTGGGGCAGTATCCTCTGGGCACTGGGTAAAAGAAGAAAGGGAGAAGATTGAACAGGAGGAAATTCTGGAAAGGCTGCAGGGAACATTGAGGATGATCTGGCAAGCCAAGCTGGAGAGCATCCCCAGTGTTTTCTTCTATCGCCAGGGAGTTCCTCACCTCTGAAAGGGAGCAAGCATTGCCGCCCACACATGGTCTCGCAGCAGAGCTGGTCCCCTGGGCAGCTGACATCCGTGGAGCAGAACTGGAGGGGCAGCGACTCATTGCCTTGAGCCAGAGCAGGGCAGATGCCAGGCTTGACTGTAACAGAGAGAGAGATTATATTGAGCCCTTCATTGGCGCTGAAAAGAGAGAGGATTTCAGCTCTTCTGCTTTTGCTTTTATTAGGTATTCTGTTTTCTTATTTTGTACAGTGGTACCTTGGGTTAAGTACTTAATTCATTTTGGAGGTCCGTTCTTAACCTGAAACTGTTCTTAACCTGAAGCACCACTTTAGCTAATGGGGCCTCCTGCTGCCACTGTGCCGCCGAAGCACGATTTCTGTTCTCATCATGAAGCAAAGTTCTTAACCCGAAGCACAATTTCTGGGCAAGCGGGGTCTGTAACTTGAAGTGTATGTAACCCGAGGTACCACTGTATTTTCATGTTGTGAACTGCCCTGTGATCTTTGGATGAAGGGGCGGTGTACAAATTAATTCAATCAATCAATCAATCAGTCAGTCAGTCATAAAAACATCAATTCCATTTTCTCTCAGTTTCTCCTTTTCCCCAATCTTAAATTCAGTTATCCACATTTCTGTATCATTTGGCACTTAAAAAAAATCACAAGAATTTCCTCCCTACACGTTTTCTTTTTTATTCAGTTTCCATTCTTTGCTTTCTTCGCCAAAGTTCTGTCCAATTCGCCCAGGTGTAGAAGACCCACCGCCCCACAGCTACCCCACAGCTTGCTCAGTTCCAGATCCAAAGAAGTGACTCATGGAGAAGCGAGATCTGCTGGGGTGCTGACGCTGCGAGCGCCTCCATCGTAGGCTAAGGTTGCATAGATGTGCAAATGAAGGTGCTCAGAGCCATGGCTTGGGCACCCACTGACTTCTCTTACCTCCAGTGACTTTCATGCATTCGTGGCCACAGCCGTTGCTGCAGCACTTCTGCCCAAGCGGGCAAGAGGCATCACTGTGACAGAGCTCTGCGCACATCCCAGATCCATGGGGCACAGGGCACTGTCCGGGGCGCACTGAAAGAGAGAAAGTGGACTCTCACACTGGGATGCTCTACAGAGGTGGGGTGCAACCAGAGGCATCACAAGGGGGGGGTGCGGTCTGCCCCAGGTGTCATGCTTGGGGGGGGAATGACAAAATCCCCCCTGGGCAGATTGGCATGGTGACGCTCTCACCTCCGGCGGGTGGATTTTCATGACTGGCACGATCGTTGTCATGAAAATATGCCCGCTGATCACACCAATACGCTTGGCGATCAGCCTGGCACCCCCTGGTGGGTGGCGCTTGCATCCCAGGCAGGCGGTTTTATGCGATCAGCGGTCAGATTTTTGTGGTTAGCGGATGGCGTTGGCACCCCCCTGATGGGCAGTGCTCGCACTCCCAGTTGCCAGTGCTCACACCCCTTTCAAAAGTATGTATTCTGACAAGGAATACAAACTCAAATATCTTTATGAGTTTCAGTTTGTAATCTCTGTTAGAGTTTGTAACCTCTGTTTGAGTTTGTATTCATTGTCAGAATACATACTTTTGAATGAATTAGTTTTTGTTACTATTGACTTGATTTGTGAGTAGGGACCACTATTGAAACTTACATTGGCCTGAGTTCTTGGTGTGCTTTTTTCTTGGTATATTTAATAAAAGGAACTCCATCTTATCTTATGTTAGTGCTCACACCCCTGGCAACGTTCCCAAAAATTGCAATGTGTGGGGGGGGTGACAACAATTTTTTCGCACCAGGTACCACCTGACATTGCTACGCCTCTGGGTGCAACCAGCGTCTGCAGGAGCCCCTCACTGCTTGCCTTGGACCACTGAGAAATGGGTGGGGGGGGCTATGCAGAACTCTAGACTTGGAAGTAGCAGCTCTCCAAGGCTCTTGGTTCCTTTCACTCCCTTTTTATGGCACCTCAGACTGAAGCCATGAGCAAAATCTCCTAACAACACACTTCCTTTGGGACACCTGCCCAACTGTGGAAGACCCCCACCCCACTTCTGTCCCTGTTCGCTCTGCCTTCCTCTGAAGGAGGGGGCTAGGCCCTCTTCCTGGACTCATCAGAAGCTCTTGGCCTCCCTGCAATGAGGCCAAAATCAGAATCCGGCAAACGTTCCCACTGCTGCTGTTGCTGCTGCTTCTGGAGCCTCCAGACTCTGCCTAGGAAAGACCCTCCCTTGGCCCAGCGGCAGTGGCAACTTGCCAGAGAGAGATCCACAGCAGACCCCTCCTTCTGAGGCAGCTTCGCTTCCCCCCTAGAGCAGGGATTGGCAAGGTTTACCTTGTCTGGGCCGGTTTACTCCAGCGGAGATCCCTCCATGGGCCGGATCGTGTGCACGTCTGCAATTTCAGGCATCTGCATGTGTGCAGACACGATTTCCGGTGCTGCAGAAGTGAGTCCCTGCGCCATGCTGTGCCAGTTTAGCGCAGCATGCAGGGACTCGCTGAGCGAGCGGCTCAGTTCAGGGTGGCTCGTGGGCCGGTTAAACGACCCTTGTGGGCCGCTTGTGGCCCATGGGCCTTAAGCTGCCGACCCGTGCCCTAGAGCATTGCAAGGGGGATCCATGGGTCCCTGCCAACTCTCCAGTCCTCTGAACCTGTGGTTCCACAACTCACCTTCCTCCTGCCCGCCATGCCCACTGTGGTCAGCCTTCTCCCTTTCCCAGAGCTGCCTGTCGCGCTGTCCGCTGCCCTGATGGTGAATCTCGGGGTTGACACACTTCAAGCCACAGTCTTTAAAGCAGCACTTCTGCCCAAGGCTGCAACTTCGGTCGTCCTTGCACTCGCTGTCGCATGGGCGGAACGCTGGCAAAAGGCGGCTCTTGGGGCAAAGGCCCCTTTTCTCTGGAGAGGAAGGGAAGAGTCAAGCAGGGGAAAGGCATCATGAGTCTGTTGCCGTAAGAACTTAAGGACATACGGTAAGATGAGCCATAAGAAGAAGTTGCATGGGAGGAAATTACAATTCAAAATCATGATCAGTGATTCACATATATGGATTGACAAAGGAAGATTAAATCTACTTGATTAACTGGGGAAATAGTTAAAGAAAAGTCTCAGCAGGAATTGAACATGAGCAGTCAATGACAATAGAGAATGGATGGGAAAGTAATAGAAATTAGGAAGTATTTTATTGTGCGTAGCAAAGGAGGGAGGGAAGAGAAACATTTTGAAGGGGGGGTTAAAAGTCAACTTTCAAGTCAAGTACTTTATTACAGTCATAGTCCAGCATAAGCAAAGCATCCAAATAAATAGCATAACAGTATGAATCTAAGCGAATAATTATTAAATAAATAGGAGCAAGAACCAAACATAGATTTGAACATATACATTGAATACTTAATTAAGCATAGATAATAGGTGAGTAAAAATGAAGTCGACATTTAAATTTGTGTTAAATTTGAATTAATTTGCTGTTACTCTGCTAAAAATTTGGAAGATCAATGAAAATGAATTGGCAAAAAGCAGAGCCCTAAGAGGAGGCTGCAGGATCAGGCCAGTGGCCCATTTAGCCCAGCCACCCAGGCTATGCCAAGTCATCCTCTGTAAGGGGAGGAGCAGACCAGGCAGGAGATGCCAACGGGCTCTTGGCTTGAGCCACGTCCGTGACGCACAACCCTCCCTGCTCTCAGGTCTGCTGATAAGGCAGGGTCATCCTGACACACCCTGAGCACCTTTGGCACCAAACCTTCTCCTGTGGCCGCATCATGGCTGCCCAGCTGCCCAGGGGGCTTTTCCTTGCCAAGGAGAGCAAAGGTTGGTGGGCAGGACTGAGGTGCTCTGGGTTCAAAGTCTGAAGGAGCGTCTCCACCCCCATCATTCAGCCTGGACACTTAAAGGTGACCTGGAAACTGCAACTAATCCAGAATGCAGCAGCTAGACTGGTGACTGGGAGTGAAACACTGGTCCTAAAAGACCTACATTGGCTCCCAGGACATTTCCAAGCACAATTCAAAGTCTTGGTCCTGACCTTTCAAGCCCTAAACAGCCTCAGTCCTGTATCCCTGAAGGAGCGTCTCCTCCCCCATCATTCAGCCCGGACACTGGGGTCCAACTCTGGGGGCCTTCTGGCGGTTCCCTCCCTGCGAGAAGTGAGGTTACAGGGAACCAGGCAGAGGGCCTTCTTGGTGGTGGCTCCCACCCTGTGGAATGCCCTCCCATCAGATGTCAAGGAAATAAACAACTATCTGACTTTTAGAAGACATCTGAAGGCAGCCCTGTTTAGGGAGGCTTTTAATGTTTGATGCAATATTGTATTTTAATATTTTGTTGGAAGCCACCCAGAGTGGCTGGGGAAGCCCAACAGATGGGCAGGGTGTATATACATATACACATATATATAGGTCTGAAGCTCAACATCAAAAAAATGAAGATCATGGCCACTGGGCCCATCACCTCCTGGCAAATAGAAGGGGAAGAAATGGAGGCAGTGAGAGATTTTACTTTCTTGGGCTCCATGATCACTGCAGATGGTGACAGCAGCCACGAAATTAAAAGACGCCTGCTTCTTGGGAGAAAAGCAATGACAGGCCTAGACAGCATCTTAAAAGCAGAGACATCACCTTGCCAACAAAGTATCCATTCTTAAGGAAATTAGCCCTGAGTGCTCACTGGAAGGACAGATCCTGAAGCTGAGGCTCCAAGACTTTGGCCACCTCATGAGAAGAGAAGACTCCCAGGAAAAGACCCTGATGTTGGGAAAGATGGAGGACGCAAGGAGAAGGGGACGGCAGAGGACGAGATGGTTAGACAGTGTTCTTTGAAGCGACCAGCATGAGTTTGACCAAACTGCGGGAGGCAGTGGAAGACAGGAGAGCCTGGCGTGCTCTGGTCCAGGGGTCACGAAGAGGCGGACACGACTAAACGACTCAACAGCAACAACAACAAATATGAATCAGGGCTGGGAGCGGGTGCTGGGAGAAAGGATCAACTCTTCTGCCTTCCAGTGCTTGCTTTGGCCCTTCTGGAGGCCCCTGCAGTGTGGGGTGGGGGTGCTGGGGCCTCAGGTGCTTGTCACGGCCGGTACCTGGCTGAGCCTTGGTGCATCTCCTGAGACCACCTCTCAGGCAACACTTCTCCTCTGAGGTGCACTGGGAGTCATCAGAACAGGGGCTGGAGGAGGAGGAGGCAGAAGCAGCATGATCTTCCGAGTGGGGACAGTAGCCTCGATGCACTGCAAGAGAAGAGGGCAGTCAGTGGGTCTCTTGCGCCACAGGAGAGCATTCTTCTGGGAGCTGCTGGGTTTGTTGCTGCTGGAGGTGGCCATAAATGAAGGCTGGAGCATTGCAAGTTATTTACAGTCATACCTCTGGTTACAGATGCTTCAGGTTGCGTTTTTTTGGGTTGCGGACCACCAAAACCCGGAAGTACTGGAACGGGTTACTTCTGGGTTTTGGCAGTCGCGCATGCGCAGAAGTGCTTAATTGCAACCCGCACATGCGCAGACGTGCCACTGTGGGTTGTGGACGTTGCGGGTTGCGAACGTGCATCCCGCACGGATAACATTTGCAACCCGAGCATCCATTGTATTTATTTCAAAAAATGTAAACGCCACCGAAAGAATAAAATAAAACACTAATCAACAACAGCCATGTAAGGCTTTTGAAAAGTTAAAATAGGGCTGCCATGCGTCACGGTTTTCCTGGACGCATCTAGGAATCGGGCTGCAAAATTTTTGCTGAATTGGCAAAATTAAGATTAAGATTCCCACAGATGCAGAACAGGAATTTTGTGGCACCTGCAGTAGTGCCCATTCCACTGATTGAAGTGGTGGAGTGGGAACATGTGAGGTAAGCTGATCTTGTAGGTAAACTGGTCCCAAGTTAAGCATTTTACTGTATATAGTTGGCCCATTTGCAGAGGGCAGATCTCTGAGCACAGGAGTTACATGCTGAAGAGGTCTCACTCCTGCCAGTGCAAAGTGCTTGACCTCCTCATCCACTCAGGCCACTGTAAGGCACTTACCAGTGGCAGAGAAGATGAGGAAGGGGTTTTTCTTAGGGTGAGGCTCGGCCATTGCACCCTGTAACTCCTCCAGATGCAAGAAGCTCAACTCTAGAATTCATGGTTGTGTGCAGAGGGCAGCGTAGGCAGAGTCCTTTCTCAAGGGCACTCTGGCAAACAGCAGGGAAATTCTCAGGGCTCCAGAATCTTGAGCATTGCTCCGTCCCAGCCAGGAAATTTTTAGAAGAACCGTGTCCCTTTCCACCATGCATGGCACTGAGATATGGGGAGCAGGGGCAGCATACATACCTCCTTCCGGAAGGACACACTTCAGAATATTCCCCACACGGCAGCACTTCTGGTCTCCTGGGCAGGGCCTCCCCTCGCTGCAGTAGGCAGCTCCCAGGTGGTGATGGGTGATAGTGGCAGGGCACTTGCCGGGCGTCGGGGACCCTGGGCAGGAAAGGAGATGAGAGGGCACCATTGACCAAAGCACAAAGGCAGTGATGGCCACCAACCTGTGTGGCTGTGAAAGAAGACGAGATGCTTCCATGGAGGAGAGGCCTATCATTGGCTGCTAGACACGATGGCAATGATGATGATGATGATGATGATGATGATGATGATGATTTATACCCCGCCCTCCCCGGTTCAAAAGCCAGGCTCAGGGCAGCTAACAACAAATTTAAAACACTTAATTATAAAAGCAGCATAAAATACAGTATAAAAACATGAATAACAATAAAATTCAAAAATCAGTTAGATAATCCCCAGGGCTAGCTGGCTGAATTGGTCCTACTTGGGCCAGTGTGGAGACCAGGGGAGAATTAGCTGTGGGGTCTCAGAGCGGGTGATCTTCATAAAAGGGGAGGGGGAGGGAAGAGAAGAGAAATAAAAGATCAGGCTGAATTCAAATTAAAGGCCAGGCGGAATAGCTCTGTCTTATGGGCCCAACGGAAGGCGGTTAAATTCTGAAGGGCCCTGGTCTCCTGGGACAGAGCAGTCCACCAGGTCGGAGCCATCACTGAGAAGGTCCTGGCCCTGGCCCTGGTGGAGGATAATCTGACTTCCTTAGGGCCCGGGACCTCTATGGTTGTTCATGGACCTTAAGGTCCTCTGTGGGGCAGACCAGGAGAGGCGGTCCCATAGATACGATCTCCACGATCATCTGAATACCAGCTGCTGGAAACTGCAGGATGGAGAGAGTTTCTCTTATGCTCGGATTCTACTTAAGGGCCTCCCATAATGGCACCTCGTTGGCCACCATGAGGAAAGGATGCTGCACTGAGTTTCACCTGAACGTGGACGGATGCCCACCTGTGGGGTCTTTGGTCCACAGCTTGAGAAAAGCTTGTTAGACTCCTGCTGAACTTTGCAAATAGTTTCTCACCGTTTGTTGAGAGCACTGGAGTCTGGAAGGTCTCCTCATCCATGTGAATTTCTCCTGACTCGTGATGATTCGCACCTACAAGGAGGAAATAAAAATAATTGATTAGGTGCTCAGCAGAGCCTGTGGACTTTTCACCATCAGCAACTCAGCATGGGATTTGCCCTCCTTACAGCTGCCATGCACAACAACAACACAACAACAACAACAACAACTTAATTTATACCCCACCCATGTGGCTGCGTTTCCCCAGCCACTCTGGGCAGCTCCCAACAGAATATTAAAAACACAATAGAACATCAAACATTAAAAATTTCCCTAAACCCTGGGCTGAGATTGTCATTGAGCCACACTCCACAACCCCAAAATCTCCTTCCTGGTCAGTCCACACCAGTTCAGACTCTGTGATGAGTGTACATGTGAACAGTCGTCACTTCTATGCCTCGATGCACATCGCTTTACACTTGCTTAAACTCAACAGCGTTTGTTGGAAGATTCAGGATGGATAAATCAAAGTACTTCTCCATGCAGAGCATCGTTGATCCCATAGGAGGATCAAACTGAGAAACAAAGGCACAGAACTTATAAATCTGTTTTTCTTTAAATCCCCAAACTCCTTTTCTCTCTTCCCAGCAGCTTCTGCTGTTCTTAACAATGTTCTTTATTGATTATAGCTCGGCTTTTAATACCATCCTCCCGGACATTCTTATCAAAAAGCTGATGGAACTAGACCTTTCTTCTACCATCTGTGACTGGATTAAAGACTTTCTGAGGGATCGGACACAAACAGTGAGGATTGGGCCTGTTACATCTACCTCCCTGAAGCTCAGCACTGGGGCCCCACAGGGATGTGTGCTGAGTCCCTACCTGTACTCACTGTATACATATGCTGTATTTCATCTGATCCATCTACTGCAATTATTAAGCTTGCAGATGATACTACCATAATGGGTCTAATTACAGGTGGAGATGAATCAGTGTACAGGGAGGAGGTTCAAAAAGTATCTACATGGTGCTTAGAGAATAACTTGCACCTAAATATTAGCAAGACAAATGAGATGGTGTTGGACTTTCAGAGGAAGAGAGGGGAACTAGTCCCATTATATGGGGGGGGGGGGTTGTGTGGGGAGAGTCTCTTCCTTTAAATTCCTGGGAGTTTACCTTAGTGAAGACCTCACTTGGAAAAACAATATAACTCAGGTGGTAGAGACTCCATTTTCTCAGGGTCTTGCGAAAGAACAATGTTAAACAACAATTGATGAACTCCTCTCATGTTGTATCACAGTGTGGTACATTGGCTTGACAGCCACAGACAGAAAGTCTTTACAGAGGGTGGTGAACACAGCACATGGTATCATGGGCTGTCCCCTGAGTCCGCTAGATGACATCGCAAGGGATCGTTGTCTTAGGAGAGTGAGGAAGCTTCTCAGGGACGACTCACACCCTGGCCAGCACCTCTTTAATCTTCTACCCTCGGGCAGGAGATATAGAAGTAGAATCAGTCATAGGTAAAGGTAAAGGAACCCCTGACCATTAGGTCCAGTTGTGGATGACTCTGGAGTTGCAGCACTCATCTCGCTTTCTTGGCCGAGGGAGCCGACGTACAGCTTCCGGGTCATGTGGCCAGCATGACGAAGCCACTTCTGGAGAACCAGAGCAGTGCATGGAAATGCCGTTTACCTTCCCGCTGGAGTGGTACCTATTTATCTACTTGCACTTTGACGTGCTTTCGAACTGCCAGATGGGCAGGAGCAGGGACCGAGCAACGGGAGCTCACCCGTTGCGGGGATTCAAACCGCTGACCTTCTTATCGGCAAGTCCTAGGCTCTGTGGTTTAACACACAGCGCCACCCGCGTCCCATAATCAGTCATACCAACAAGCTAAAACAAGATAACTATTTCTATCCGTGGGCTGTTAGGCTGCTGGACGGAAAGTAATATAGTACAACTGACTTTCGGGGTTGGTGTGTTTTGCGACAAGCACACAGAGTGCAATGAGTTTAAGTGTTTGTGTGGGGGGGAGGGAGACTCGGTTAATTTCATTGTACGCAGGTTGCACATTGACAATAAAGGTACTATTATTATTATTATTATTATTATTATTATTAAAGTCATGGTTTGGGAAAGGCTCCCAGGGCTGGATGGTGGGGCAAGGCAGCTGGAAAAAGCCATTGCCTGATGAGCAGCACAAAGTCTCTCCCCCCTGACAGTTCTTCCTCTGGAAACAGCTCCCTTGTGAAGACTCCTAGGGCTGGAAGGTGGGGCTTCTGAATCCTAGTTTCTGGAAGCCACAGGAGAGGAGAGGGCCACTCTTGGGCTCAGATCCTGTTGGGAATTTGACTACGTGCAATTCTGTGCAGCTTCACACAGAGTCAATTAAGAGTTAAGGAGAATTTCCGCCTGGAGATATAGAAGCCTGGAGACAGCTCTAGGTCTCACACAGACATAATGATTTATGTCCTACTGACTGGAATGTGTTAGTGAACTATGCGTATGCTCTGCTAAGGTCCTGCAACAGGTCAAAGTTGCAAAACACCAACAGATCCTGCTTGTGGGCTTCTGTACTAGGGCATCTGGTTGGCCATTGTGAGAACAGGATTCTGGACAAGATGGGCCACTGGCCTCATCCAGCAGGATCTTCTTATGTTCTTATTTTTAATGCCCATTTCCTGGGCAGTCACTGCCACTTCAGACCCCATTACTCCCATGTAAAGTTAGAATTTCCGCCCCCAATAGGCATCATTTTACACTTGCCTACGCTGAACTGCATTTTTGTTTTAGCCAGGCCGAACATTTCTCTCTCAGCAGCAAATTTGGCTACTTCACTGCTCACTGCTAACTCCCACCATTTATGAACAAGTTTAAAATGAAAAATCTCAAAGTGGCTGCTCGAGGGACTGTCCGGAGAACTCCCCATTCATTCCCATTCGCTGCTTCTTGCCATGTGGCCGAGTTCTGATCCATCGGAGGACCTCTCTCCTCTTACTAAAGGTAAAGGTAAATGGACCCCTGACCATGAGGTCCAGTCACGGACGACTCTGGGATTGCGGTGCTGATCTCCCTTTACTGGCCGAGGGAGCCGGCGTACAGCTTCCGGGGCATGTGACCAGCATGACTAAGCTGCTTCTGGTGAACCAGAGCAGCGCACGGAAACACCGTTTAACTTCCCGCTGGAGCCAGTACCTATTTATCTACTTGCACTTTGACGTGCTTTCAAACTGCTAGGTTGGCAAGAGCAGGGACCGAGCAACGGGAGCTCACCCCGTCATGGGGATTCGAACCGCCAACCTTCTGATCGGCAAGCCCTAGGCTCTGTGGTTTAACCCCCAGCGCCACCCACATCCCTTCTCCTCTTACTATATGACTGCTAAATTTATCCCAGAGTCTCTCTCTTATCAAGCCATCCCAAGGAGCTGCTGAGATCAAGAGCAACTAACAATGACCATCACCTCAAAGGCTGCAGGCCATCGCTGCCTCCAGAGGAGGGAGTCCCACAGTTTAACTATTTGTTTCATGAAGAAGGGTTTCCTTTCATGCGTCTTGAACCTTCCAGCATTCAGCTTCAGGATGTCTGCAAGTTCTGGTGTCAGGAGAGAGGGAGAAAACCTTTCTTCTTTGCCGCTGCCTGTCATATCAAACCCAGAAGCCACTCAGTGCCTTCTCCTGACTGCATTTTCCTTGGCAAATCAGTTCTGGGGTTTCCAGCAATTGCTTTTCAGAAACACTGCCAGTATCTTATTGGGGGGAACAGAAGGAGATTGTGCAAATATCCTCTTTTGCCCTCTTTCTTTGAACAACGAGGATTCCCTAAGCAAGAATGATTCCATTTCTGCCTGCCTGGAATGGTAATGTGGGGAAGGTGAATTTCTACAAGCACCAACCTTGTCCCCCCCCCCCCGAACAGCAGAATCAGCACTCACCCTGTGCCCTGTGCTTCATCATTTTGGCAGAACTGGGCTCCACTCGGAGGGCAAAGAGCCCCAGGAGGAGGAAAATGGCAAGGTGGACCCTCATGGCTGTGGCTGGAGCTGGCAGTGCCTCTGCCAGGGTGGGCAAGGCTGGAATATAAACCCCCCAGGCAGGTCCTGACCATTCTGCTGGTGACACACACAGCTACCTGCCCACCTCTTGGTCAGCTGGTGACAATTCCCAGAATCCTGTGTGCGGGTCACTCTGCCAGGGTGTGTCAACAGCCTTATCTAGTGGCCCAACAAATCTGCTTGGGGCATGTCAGCGTGACTCTTGCAGGAAGGCAAATGTTGTGAGCTTTGCAAAAAATGCCTGCTTGGGTCTTTCGCCACGCCACTCTTAGCAGCCAGCCAGCCAGCCTGGCTGACTCTGGTCTGCAGGACCGCATGAAGGTGGCCTCAGCCCTTGAGAAGCATCTTTTCAGCCACCACTTGGAGGTGGCTCAGTCTCAGATGGGCCGACAGCAGCACATGCCAAGCTGGACCTTCCTTGGGCCACACATGGACATTTGCCTGATGCTATGCATCTTCTGCTTCTTGGGAGAAAAGCAACGACAAACCTAGACAGCATCTTAAAAAGCAGAGACATCACCTTGCCGGCAAAGGTCCGTACAGTGGTACCTCAGGTTACGTACGCTTCACGTTACATATGCTTCAGGTTACAGACTCCGCTAACCCAGAAACAGTGCTTCAGGTTAAGAACTTTGCTTCAGGATGAGAACAGAAATCATGCTCCTGTGGTGCGGCGGCAGCAGCAGGCCCCATTAGCTAAAGTGGTGCTTCAGGTTAAGAACAGTTTCAGGTTAAATACGGACCTCTGGAATGAATTAAGTACTTAACCTGAGGTACTACTGTATAGTTAAAGCTATGGTTTTCTCAGTAGCGATGTATGGAAGTGAGAGCTGGACCATAAGGCTGATCGCCGAAGAATTGATGCTTTTGAATTATGGTGCTGGAGGAGACTCTTGAGAGTCCCATGGACTGCAAGAAGATCAAACCTCTCCATTCTGAAGGAAATCAGCCCTGAGTGCTCACTGGAAGGACAGATCCTGAAGCTGAGGCTCCAAGACTTTGGCCACCTCATGAGAAGAGAAGACTCCCTGGAGAAGACACTGATGTTGGGAAAGATGGAGGGCACAAGGAGAAGGGGATGACATAGAACGAGATGGTGGGACAGTGTTCTCGAAGCTACCAGCATGAGTTTGACCAAACTGCGGGAGGCAGGGGAAGAATGGAGTGCCTGGTGTGCTCTGGTCCATGGGGTCAAGAAGAGGCGGACATGACTAAATGGCTAAACAACAACAGACATGCATCTTCCAAGCCCTCTCCAGGATCCTGGAGCAGTTGGACCCAAAGACATTGCACAACCGGAGTTTCTGCTCCTCTGTTCCCCCTCGCAGAAGTTACTTTATACAATAAGGAACATTTCCATGATAAGATTCTGGCCTCATTTATTCCGAAGGGAAGAAGAGCTCAGAATCGCACTCAAGCCAGCCTCACAGTCAGACTGCTGCATGAATCAAGACAGTCAAGTTTCACGCAGGCAAAATGAGGGCTGGGTTACTCGCGGCACCAATCCAGTTTTGTCTTATATATACTGGGCTATTTTCTAAATAGCTGGTGTAGCAGCAGCGCTTAATCCTAGCTCTGACCCCAGCTAATTCTACATTTCCAGGTTTTGCTGTTCTTTATTGCGTTAAAACAACAACAACCACACATGATATTAAATACTGAACTTTATTTGTTCCCTTCAGTTTCAGCATAACAGTGTCAACAGTTAAAATAAGGGTGTTAAGTTCCAGGTGAAATATTTACTTCATTTTAAGCAGTCTATGGGTTCTACTGGCTATTTATGAACTCTGTAGATAGAGGCCTTCTTGGACATCACACCTGCAAAAGATAATGCACACAAGTGACAGGTGAATAGGAAATTTTTAGTGAATCATTGCCTCAGACACATTAAAGCCGGGATTTCTGGGCCAATGCCTCCTTAGTTCCATAATCTCATCCCCAATTTTTGCAGAACTGGAAAGGGGCACAAAGGGTAATCTAATCCAACCCCTTGCAACACCTGTGAAACAGCTTGTGAGCCAAGAGCTTGGCTCTCTTTACATTATGGCATTTCATTATTATCATTTTTTAAATGGGTAAAACATTCTTTTCAACGCTGCTACACTTTACTGCAAACTTTTTCTTAACATGGAGTTCATAACTGTGTAAGTAGAAAATGGCTTGAAAATTATGACCACCTATTTTGTCCTGGTTACACATATTTAGAAATGGCTCTACAAGACTGCAGCATCTTCTGATTCATCAAATGCTTTTTTTGGAGTCGAAACAAAATAAAAAAATTCCTTCCAGTAGCATCTTAGAGACCAACTAAGTTTGTTATTGGTATGAGCTTTCGTGTGCATGCCCACTTCTTCAGAGACACTTCACATGCACACTTCTTCAGATAGTGCATGCTCACGAAAGCTCATACCAATAGCAAACTTAGTTGGTCTCTAAGGTGCTACTGGAAGGGATTTTTTATTTTATATTTTGTTTCGCTTACAGCAGACCAACATGGATACCTACCTGTAACTTTTTTTGGAGTGTGTGAGTAATCAGAAAAGGACAGTATTGTCAGCAGGCTGAGCAGATTGCGCTAAACATTGTCTTGCCACAATTCACCATGGGAAGAACCCAGACTGCTGACCTCAGGTTCAAGACTGATGCAGGAGGCCACAGGTGAGGCTGGTGCTTCAGGACCATGGATAGCTCCAAGCGAGCCACTTGCTCCCAAAAATGATGAGCGCAGATTGAGGTTTTGGAAACCTCTATCTCCTGACCCCCTATTCTAGACTCCACCCCCTTGCAGAGACTTCTCTAGATTCATACAGGGCCAATACTGCAGGAAAGGCAGCTCACTGGGTTTAAGAGGCTTGGAAGTTTCCTAGACCTTCTCACATATTAAAAAAAGGTTATGGACAAGCTGGATGGGGCACAGAGGAGGGCAGCCAAGACAATCAAGGGTCTGGAAACCAAGTTGAGGGAGTTCGGAATGTTTCGCCAGAAGAAGAGGAGGCTGAGAAGCGATAGGATAGCTATCTTCAAATACCTGAAGTCACCTGGATGAGGAAGCAAGCTTGTTTTCTGATGCTCCAGAGGGGAGGACCCATGGATTTGAATGACAAGAATGGAGATTCTGACTCAAAATTAGGAAGAACTTTTTGATCTTGATGAAAGAAAAGACCACCTTGGAAGGTGCTGGACTCTCCTCAATGATGGTTTTTAAACAGAGGTTAAATAGCCCCCCCCCGTTTGATTTGATTTATTGTGTTTCCTTGCTGCTTTTCATTGAAATGAATCTTAAAGCAGCTTACAAACATTACATAACAATAATGTAATAAAACATAATGGAAAAAACACTCATGATTTAAGTGGGTCACTCGTTTCATGATCATGGAGGACCAGAGGACCCCAGCCGGTGCAGCATTTGGGTGAGCTGTCTTAACAACGGGCATTATGAGTATTTTATGTGTAGTGAACTGTATAGAAAGATTATGAATAATGGGAGGAAAGGAGAGAGTGCATATGAACTTAACAATGCTCAGCATATTTTTTTAGATGCCGTTTTGTTAATGCTCTTTTATAGATTATAGAGTGGCTGGGGAAACTCAGCCAGATGGGCGGGCTATAAATAAATAAATAAATAAATAAATAAATAAATAAATAAATAATAAAAATTAATGCCATATCAATTGCTAATTGTGTAATACACCTTTTGCTGTAATTTTGATGTTTGGCTTATGTTTTTATTTGCTGCTGTGTTAATAGCGTTTTATAGATTGCAGTTCATAGAATAGAATCATAGAATCATAGAGTTGGAATAGACCACAAGGGCCATCGAGTCCAACCCCCTGCCAAGCAGGAAACACCATCAGAGCACTCCTGACATATGGTTGTCAAGCCTCTGCTTAAAGACCTCCAAAGAAGGAGACTCCACCACACTCCTTGGCAGCAAATTCCACTGTCAAACAGCTCTTACTGTCAGGAAGTTCTTCCTAATGTTTAGGTGGAATCTTCTTTCTTGTAGTTTGGATCCATTGCTCCGTGTCCGCTTCTCTGGAGCAGCAGAAAACAACCTTTCTCCCTCCTCTATATGACATCCTTTGATATATTTGAATATGGCTATCATATCACCCCTTAACCTCCTCTTCTCCAGGCTAAACATGCCCAGCTCCCTTAGCCGTTCCTCATAAGGCATCGTTTCCAGGCCTTTGACCATTTTGGTTGCCCTCCTCTGGACACGTTCCAGTTTGTCAGTGTCCTTCTTGAACTGTGGTGCCCAGAACTGGACACAGTACTCCAGGTGAGGTCTGACCAGAGCAGAATACAGTGGCACTATTACTTCCCTTGATCTAGATGCTATACTCCTATTGATGAGGCCCAGAATTGCATTGGCTTTTTTAGCTGCCGCGTCACACTGTTGGCTCATGTCAAGTTGGTGGTCAACCAAGACTCCTAGATCCTTTTCACATGTACTGCTCTCAAGCCAGGTGTCACCCATCTTGTATTTGTGCCTCTCATTTTTTTTGCCCAAGGGCAATACTTTACATTTCTCCCTGTTAAAGTTCATCTTGTTTGTTTTTGCCCAGTTCTCTAATCTGTCAAGGTCGTTTTGAAGTGTGATCCTGTCCTCTGGGGTGTTAGCCACCCCTCCCAGTTTGGTGTCATCTGCAAATTTGATCAGGATGCCCTTGAGTCCATCATCCAAGTCGTTGATAAAGATGTTGAATAAGACCGGGCCCAAGACAGAACCCTGTGGCACCCCACTAGTCACTCTTCTCCAGGATGAAGAGGAACCATTGATGAGCACCCTTTGGGTTCGGTCAGTCAGCCAGTTACAAATCCACTGAGTGGTAGCATAGTCAAGGCCGCATTTTACCAGCTTCTTTCATGCAGTTGTTTCATGCATGATGTTAAATAGCCATTTGTTGGGGATTCTGTTGCTGTGATGCCAGCAATGCAGGGGGTTGGACTAGATGACCCCCGGGGGACCCC